TTTGTTTTATTCGTCGTGTAACATGTGCGTAAAGATGATGCCCCATTTCAGTTGCAGGAATCTAGATTTAGTGAATTGTACAAAGATAATAAAGAGTCTTAAAGGTCCTACTAATTATGGGGAAATGAGGGATAAAATTTATTGAATCATCACACCAATTATTTTTCAAATGAACAAGGAGATTGGACTTGGTGGTTGGGTAGATGATGACCATAATTGTTTTTCTCCTTCAACTTGCTTATATATACGGTGTCACTATATTCTCACTCCTAGACAATATAGTGAAATAGCATTGTGAGAATTTTTGTCTCTCAAAGACACATTTCGTTTCATCAATACTTTACTACATCAATATAATGAGTTCATCCACAGAAAGCACCGAACCGTTCAACATGGATGAGCCGTTGCCGGTTCCCGATTCCTCTCCGTTATGTCCAATCTACATTTCGTCAGAAGATGAGAAAATTGAACCTCGTACGGGTAGGAGAGCCATTTCTCCTATTCCCTTCCCAAACTTGGAAGATGTTGGGAGTGACGATGGTTTGTCACAGAACGATGTGCTTGATACGGTGTTCGCGATCGACGCTGCCTACGAGGGGCAATCTGAGGATGACAATGGACTGGCGTACGTCCCACAAAACAAGGTCATTATCATCTCGTCTGACGAGTCAGGTGAAGACAGTGGGGGAAAAAGTTCAGTAGTCGACGACGAGTTAAATGCAGGCCGTAGAGTGTAGTGAAAAAGTAGTGTACAGTCCAGTATTTTGTAGGGATGAATTTGGTTAACACATAACCAAAATATCTGCATGAACATGTCCTTAAGCTGTAATCCGGGTAGTGTATTTTGTGTATAGTCCAGTCCGGCCGAACTGTCGAGAATTACAGATTTCTATTTATCGAAAATGATAAATTAACCTCCATCTATATTTTGCACCACGTTCAGTGGATGTTATGAAATGCTATTTATCATAAGTTGAATTGTCATCGCAGATGACGATGTTACAAATTATAATAAATTTCATGGGTATTGAAGATAACTTTTTTAAATGGGGTTCATCATGCGCGCAGTCCAACGACAAAATTACAACTTTGCAATTTACAATTCATTTAGCTTTGGATTGAAAATTGCAAACTGAATACTGCGTGATTCGTACAAGGTTTTGCCTACTACCTTCAAGTATTTTGAATGACCCTACACTTGGAGAGTTAACTGTACGTGTTTAAAGACATTTTGTTGAACATGTTACAATTATGTTATTTCCCATTCAGAGAATCTACAGTTCATCATGTACGTGAAACTGATCTTGAGTGTTGTGCACACTTTTGTCAACTGTCGGGAATCCAGAACACATCTGCCGGGGAGACATTTCACATGTCGGGATGTTGTGTACGTACTGAACAGAACAGTCGAGTATGAAATTCGTACGTGCACAGAAGGATGCCGAACATCCAAAAATGGTAATTATCACAGTCTTTATAACATAACTTCATAAGGTACAGTGCACTATGGAACATTGAACATACAACGTCGATTACACTAAAAACCTTTAAGGAACTTGTGATTCATTGGGATTCGAACATGTGCTCCGATTATGACCAAGTCGAGCACAACGAGTGCAGACTTGTGTCTTGAACGCTTACATTGGGTCGGTGGTCTACCTGGAGGGCGACGTACGAGTGGTGGTAAAATAGAAGTAAATGTAATTAAACTCGGAACAACCCAGTCCACTTCACATCCAACAGGATATATAGCTTCGCTATAGGCACCCCTCTAGTATTCAGATGTGTAATAAGGGGAGCAAAGGTCATACATAGACTTTTCTCTAAAGCAAGCAGCACGAGTTGCATGAACACATCGCATACGGTTTAGTTGGAACTCACGACACGTGCAAGTGTCTTCGAAAAAGTCAACTATGTCCACATCGTTGGATATTCCAACTTGAGTTAAGTTGTTTGTCAACAAATGGGCTCGAAGCCTAGTTCCACTTTCGAATGCCATCCGTAACTCATTTTCCATCCTCGGCGTCAATATGGTACTGCATTCGGTAGCTTTTTTTTGACGTTCATAAAACCACTTCTACATAGTACTCCGAATGTGTTCAACCAAGCAGGTTATCGGTAAAAAAAAAGGCTTCTCTCAACATGGAGTTCAAAGACTATGCATTGTTGTTCGTCATAATGTTGTAACGGTGGCCAATAAATAGTGTTCGGGACCAAAATGAATAACCTGCACGCTCAAGTACCTGTGCGCTCTTGCGCTCACCCTACGAATCTGTCCCATGAGTCTTTCAAAGTCCTCGACTGTATTAGGTTCCTTTCGAGATGCTAGATACAACAACCATGTTGAGACAACGAAAACAACTGAGTAATAGCTTTTTCAATGCTCTTTTTCCTGTCTGAAACAAATACGAGGCCTTCGGAGTCCGCTATAAGCTCTTTCAAGTTGGACATAAACCACTTCCAAGATTTATTGGTTTCAGCATCCACGATCCCCCATGCTAACGGATATATCTGTTTGTTACCATTTTGGGCAGTTGTCAGTAGAAGTGTCCCTTTGTATGGACCCTTCAAATCACTGCCATCAACACAAATAACGGGTCTCAAGTACTGCATGTAACCACGAATGCTTGCACCGAAAGCTAGGAAGAAGTAATGAAACCTATTTTGAGAATCAAGTTCTATGTGGGTTAATGCCCTCGGGTTACTCTCTCCTACGACATGGCTGTATGAAGATAATTTCTGGAAACTGGCTTCCGGTGTACCGTGTAGCATAGTTAAAGCATGAAGTTTTCCCCTACGAGCTTTGTTGTAATTGATTTTCACACCGAACTCACGTTCCATATCACGTGCAATAGCGGTAGGGTCATACGATCAATATGGAGTATCCAGTTTTCCCAAAATGTACTCGGCAATTACAGAATTAGTGGCATGTCGATGTGCGTTACGACGAAAATCAAGGGAACATGTGTGCGCGTTGATCAATTTACGGATCATGAAGATTGCAGATTGCTTGACAATAAAAGCACGTAACATCTATTTGCAATTATCGTCCACACAAACAATGGTTAACATTTTCATGCTTGACCTGCTCACCCGAAATTGGAACTTCTCTTGCAAAGTAAGCACACGAGTCTTCGAGTACATTTGTTTCTTGCTAAAGAATATTTGCTTTTCGACGAGAACGACGGTTGTAATCCACTCATCTGTGCCTAAACTCATGGAATGTGATGACATTGGCTGGTCAATGTCAACAATAATAGCATCATCCGTACCATGTAACATGTTGTCTAAGTGCTCAACGGAAGCTGCAGCCTCAATATGGTCAATTGAAGGTGTGTGTGCTTCGTCGTTCGACCCACTGTGCTGATGATTGAGCTCACCATGTTGTAAATTCTGGGGAAATTCCCTTCGGCTGAACAAGTTCCCTGCACAGTTCGCTTTCCTCGCCATGTCAAAACTCGGGACCTCGATTTCCATAATAGTGACACAGAGTGCAGTTTCCTTATGAATAGATATGTACCAATTTAGGTCCTCATTGTCGCGTATCTCTGCTGGAGTTATATTCAAATTCAGGACTTTGAAGTTCAATTCGATTTCATTGCGGGCTTCAACAATACCAAGTTTGTCCTTCAACAGTAACACAAGTTCTACTACGATAATGCTTCTCGACGCTAAAATGGAAGTTGTTTTGTCCCCTCTCCACTTCCATTCGTCATCCATGTGAACAAAGTTCCCCCCATGCAACACGATAACTCTCAAATCCTGAGTCATACCTGAAATGTTGGGACTACAAAAGTTAGAATTCTACACATTCATATGGCGAAGGATTGAATACAGTCAAATTGGTGCATTACAATACTTTGATCCATGTATTACAAAAAAAAAAAAGAGCTTTTCAGGTGTCGAAATCGGCAATTGAATTCTCTGTCCATCCCGACAGTTACTAAATGTCGATTTCGACAGTTAAAATGTCTAACTCGACGGATTCTACGAAACTGCTCAACAGTTGAACTACCATAAGTGTTGGGGAAGCTAAAAATCATGTGTTTGACTGTTTCAAGAATTTATTGCAAAACATTAAAGGTCATAATCATTCTCAACTACAACATCAACTGATCTTCCCACACATAAAGAAAGTATAACTCAATGCTTCATTAAATATGGAATTACATATGAAATCCTTCACATTTTGATGAGAATATTGGTATTTTTTTCCTTTCTAAAATATACCTAAAATAAAACACATCAATGAATAAGATATGAAATATGGACAATTAATTATGATCATTTTCTATTGAATATTTAAAGTAGTCAAGTATGACATGAAAATATTTCTTTCCTACTATCTCACATTTGAGATTGATCAATGGCTTTCCTTCATGTCTTGTTGATAATGAAAGGGGGATGATGACGAAGAAGAAGCTATTTCAAGTTCTACGTGTGTGTGTGTGTGTGTGTGTGTGTTCTTTGTACACATTCCACCCCCTTTTTTAATCAAAAAATCATATTATACAATATAATATTTATTTCTTCAATGTTAACAATAAAGAAAAATAAATAATCATATCACACCATTAATTGCATTCAAATCAAGCATTTATTGCTCCTAAAAAGGTGTCAAAAGGTAAGATGGACATTTTGTGGGGAAAAATTGACATTTTTGAAAAAAATTTGTGCAAGACAAAATTTTTTGTGCATTTTCAAATTTAGTAGCATTTATATAAATTCCCCAAAAAAAAATTTCAAGTGCAATTTGCCACTTTCACACCTTACATTTCAAAAAATAAAACTGACCAGTTCTGAATACATATTATGATTTAATTGAGATGTTATAAAAAAATATTTTTGCAGTAGAATCAAAATTTATTTATTTTTCTTAAAATCGGGAACCGAATTAGAACAGTTTCGATTCAAGGATCAATTTGCATCTTTTGTCGACATCCCAAAAATGAATTCGTGGGTCCATTGCGGACACCTATGCCCACGCCAATATAGCTCAACATTCACATATATCCATAATTTCCTCACTCCTTTACTTCAGCTCTGCTTTCCCTTTTCTTCTCTGCTGCAAAAATGGCGTCTCGATTTTTCCCCTATACCATCACCAGTACAATTTTCTACACTGACCATTCTGTCCCCAATGCCCACACGAAAGTCGTTGAAATCCCCATCCAGTCCCCTTCTGATGAACCACCGGCCTCGATTCCCATCCCAATTGCGCAACCTCAATCCTCTGCTGCTGTTAAGATACAGTCAGTGTATCGATCGCACAGGGTCCGGAACCTTGTAAAGAAGATCGCCGCGGTCAATTCTGAAGCCAATTATTGGGAAAGACTCATCCAACAACAGGCATGCGTTTTAAATTTCTAACTCTTACTAATATTTCTTTGCAAATTGTATTCTGGATTTCTTAATTTCTTCGGGGCGGTCAATTTTGTGTTATTCATCATTAAATTTTGATGATCCCTTTGCAGAATGAACAGTAAATTAAATAGCATGTTAAATATGTGTTGTTAATTACTGAACTCTTAACGAAATGTTACGCTAGATTGCTGAACTTTATTTTGCCCTGAGTTCATCATTGAACCTTTTTTTTTTTGGAAGCTGATCACTCTATATATATTCATTAATTCTACACTGTATTTCGTTAAAACTGTAGTGACAAGAAGTGTTTTTAAACCAATTAATTATCCTTTTTAAAGACGGGGTAGATTGGTGAATTTATGCATTCGCATTCTTATTCAGGATCTGCATTCCTATTCAGGAAGAATAGTAGCAAGTAATGGATCACCAGCTTGAGATTTGAGATTGAGTAAGGATTTTCAATTTGGTAGGGTTCTGATGGGCGTAACTGATTATTATATCTGAAGGGAAGAAAATTCATTCAACTTCAGGGCAATTTTCTCAATTGTGTATCAATTTTTCATGATTATTGGGTTTTAGGATTACTTTTAATTGTTACTCTAACAATACTATTAGCTCAACATTTAAAATGATTTTCTGTATTCCGGGAATAAGGCTTCTCTTAGCTGCTTTTGTTGTTGTTAGAGACATGGTTGCTGGATGGCTGTTTGGACGTGTAATGCCTAATGATTTGGTTACCATTAAACCTAGTTAGCTGTTGTTTTAATTTTATACTTTTGTGCAGCGGAGTGTTTTTCTCATAAAAGTTCATTTCCTTTTCAAGTTTATGATTTGCTGATATCACAACTTTTGAAAATGATAATACCGAGTGATGCTCAAATAGATATAAGCAGCCGATTTCAATGTCCTGACTCTTGACTGAGAATTGAACAGCAATATGAATATGTAATCGTGTTGATATAATTGCAGCCACTGCGTCCAAATGTTTATTTTTCGATCTTGAGCCTTCTGTAAATTATGTGAGAGTATTAGGTGGTCATTTTGATATCATAAACCGTAGAGCTGATGCCTGGTGATGGTCGAAATTTAGTTAGGTCCGTTTTACATTTTACTTCAACTTGTTGCCTAAGTTTAGCATGTGACACATCTTATTAGCCTGTGACACAAAATAAGGGATGGGATAAGCGATACACATTGGTTTTAGAGATTTAATCTATACTTTGGAAGAGAGGATATTGGGCAGTATTATACTCTAATAATATCTTATTCAGTATTGCATGTCAAACATTGACCGACTGTTTCCTCCTATTTCATGCAGGAGACAGTTGATGCTGTGCGTACCAGTGAACAGGAGCGGATCAAGATCAACGAGGCTTTGATGAGTTTGTTATTCAGGTTAGACTCGGTGCCCGGGATTGATGCCACTGTGAGGGAGCTGAGGAGGCATGTGAGCCATAGGATTGTGGGGTTGCAGGAGATACTGGATGCAGTTTCAGACTCGAAAGTTCAACACTGGGATGGGTTTTTAAGGTACTGGGATGATGTTTTAGCTGGTATGGAAAAAGAGGTGTGCAAAGAAATAGGTGGTGGGAATGACATGGAGAGGTATTGTGCTGAGCATTTGGGATTTCGATGTCTACAGAGGTTTCTTCGTGACCAATGATCATGCGCATAAGTAATAGAGCATGTTTGGCTATGCTTAAAAAGTTATTTCACTAGAAAGGAAGTTGTTAAGAAAAGTCATATTTCAAAAATAAGTGACTTTGACTTTGACTTTTGCTTTCTATCTGTTTATATTGTAAATCGATACACGAGTTCCTAATCTTTTGCTTACATTTTGTGGTGACGTGGTGTATTTATTTTTGTTAGTTGTTATATCCTAATCGTAAAACTCCTAAAACTCTCTTCCTTTCGGTCTCTAAGCAATTCTAATAGTCGATGGAGTGTTGGAAAAAAAAAAAAAAAAAAATTGTTGTGGATTTCCCATTTTTTGGGAAATAAAACTGAATTTTTTCTTATTGTTTATTTACATAGTTAGACGGTCATTTTCAGCACACGTCTTTTTCTCTACCGAAGAGGTTTGACGAATGAAATTGAGATTCTAAGGTCTCTATATCGGGCTAAATGCATTGTCGATCACTGTACTTTTAGTAAATGAGCAATCAGGTCACTCATCTTTAATTTCAAGCAATCTGGCCACTCACTCAAGATTTTGAGTCCCAACATATTTGTAATCGGGGTCCTCACATAACACAAATTATTGACGTGGACGTGAAGGTTACATTAAATTTAAAAATTAGGTCTGCACGTATAATTCTTCACAATTTTGTTGTTCATCAAGTAACGTGCTAATCGCTTTCAAATTTTAACTTTTACATTAATAATTTATGTCACGTAGAGCCTCGTATTCATAAATTTAAATGGATTAAAATATTTAAAAATTTATTTTGAAGGTTGATAAATCGAAATCATACTAATTTAATCGTTGAGGATCCGGTCCTAATTCTTCCCAAAATAAATCCTAATCTTTCAAGAAGCCAAACATCTATATTTAATTATTGTCGGTGAGAGGAGGAATCTGACTTCCAAAATTTTTCTCTCGTTGAATTCTAGGCGATGGAGTGTTGGTTTAGGCTTTTGCAAGCGGCAGAGAGGGACATGCCTACTAAAACACCAAACTTAAGCGGTTTTACTCTATCTACTAGCTCCCAGTACCATGAACGGTGTCTACTATTCCAAACCAAAAATATATAATGCGGAAAGGGAAATAAATTCTCAAGTTTGTATATCATAGTTCAAACACTGAATTCCCCTACAATGAACTCAAATTGGAGGGACAAGAAATTCTACCCTACAATAGGCATTCTATTCCTTCTGGGTTTCATCTATCTGAATTACTTCGATAACTCATATTTTTCTTTTCCAATCATCACATGGAGTCCTCCCAAAATGGGCTTTGTAGGGGTTAATGGCACCAGATTTGTGCTTGTGGATAATGGGAATATAGAGTCACCTGTGTATTTGAACGGATGGAATTCTTATTGGTTGATGGAGGAGAGTGTGTGGGGTCCGTCGAGATATAGAGTCTCGGATATGCTCAAGAAAGGGGCTGAAATGGGGATGACAGTTTGCAGGACTTGGGCTTTCAGTGATGGTGCTCGACCCAATGATCTTCAGACTCAACCTGGTGTCTTCAATGAAAGGGTCTTCAAGGTTTTCAATGTTTAATTTATTATCAGAGTAATCTTTTTATTGCTTTGATTATTGACTACCCTTTTGTTAATATATTCAATTTAGTTTCACCAAGTTATTTTCTGTTAGATTGTAGTATTATCCGTTGTAAAATTTCTTGCCATAATATGTTTCTTGAAAATTAAATTTAGCTAGTTGGAATTGATTGTTGATTACCTTTCCTTAACATACTCAATATTAATTTAGATATTTGGCTGTGCTTAAAATCGGCTTTTTAGCATTTCATTCTGCTAAAAAAAACTGCTTTAAGCACCGCCAAACATCCTGTTGATTACCTTTCCTTATATATTCCATTTAGTTTCATGAAGCTCTTATTCTTTTTTATTATTATTTATTTTTGTATCAGTTGTAAAATTGCTTGCCATAATTTCTTTTTTGAAAATTAAATTGGAAGTTACTGTTGTCTTGTCTTGGGGGTAAGAATTTCAGGGAAAATCCAAAAGGTTTGATTGTTTGTGGAAGAATGACATTTTAAGGTTAGTTCTTGATCAAAGGAAAATTTTCCTGTTCGTTATTTGAATGAATCTTAAGTCATACTTCGCGACCGTTGTTAAGTCTGTTTCAATATTTATAAAGATAGTTTAATCCTTTAGTGCATGTCCAGTATTAGGCAGGACTCGATCAAATCCTCCTTACCAAACATGCTATTAATGATTGAACTATGTTATCAATGAGTATAGGATTCCTTTGAGTATTGGACAGTGGAGTAGCTCCAGGTTGGCTTAAGAGGAGCAGTCTCTACTCTTTGGGATATCATTAGGCCTTATCTGTCTAAATACCTCAGTAATTTGGTCTTCTCGAAAAATATTAGAGCATTCTCTGATCCTTGCTGGTTATAGCGTAAAAACTCTTTGTTCTTGGTTTTCTCGATCTCACTCATCTCTCCCTTTTCATTCTCAAATCTATAGAATCTTCATAAGTCAAGGAGTAGGCTTCTAAATTGGTGATCCGATTCAATTTGACGCCATTCATTCTTTTGTCTTCAGGGATTAGATTATGTGGTATACGAAGCTAGGAAACATGGGATAAGATTAATCCTCAGTCTTGTCAACAATTTGAATGCTTTTGGTGGAAAAGCTCAGTATCTGCGTTGGGCAGAAGAAGCTGGAGTGAATATTACTTCGTCGACCGATTCATTTTTCTCTAATCCAATCATAAAAGAGTATTACAAATCTTATGTCAAGGTATGGTGAATCCCGCTCTTATAGGTATTATGTTGCAAGCAAGATTACACAACTTTTTACAATTACTTTACACATTATGTTTTGAGAAATACCACCTAAGGTTTATTAACGTGTGTGTGTGGATAATATTAATTATGGGAAAACATCGACTTGCAGGTTAAGTGAAAACTAAATGGAAGTGCTTCCCTGAGATCCTTAATCTTTTTGGTTCATATTTCTTTTGGGCTGTTGCAGGCTATTTTGACTAGAAAGAATTCCTTTACTGGTGTCAAATATTCGGAGGAACCGGCCATATTTGCCTGGGAACTCATGAATGAACCTCGGTGTAAATCCAATTCATCTGCTTCCGCTCTTCAGGTAAACTCAAAACTAAGTTCTCCTTCTTGTGCTTTGGCCTCCCTTTCAGAAAGGAATTGAACTCTTGGTGATTAGTATTGAGAAAGTAGTGTCAAGCGATTATCTTGAAAACCGGAATGTACAGCCTGTTTGGGTAAGCTTGAAAAGTTTATGCAAGTAAGTTTACTTAAAGTTTTAAAATAAAATAATTTTTTAATGGTCAAAGTCAGAAATAAGTGACTTCTTTCACTTAAAAGTAATATAAGTAACATTTTCAAACATGTTTGAAGATAAAGTTTACACCTTTTTTCAGCCAAAAATGCTCGTAGTTCATCCAGGTGAATTAACTTTCTAACCACCAGTATAAATGCATTATCCATGTGCTCAGTGTCTATTTTGGCCAATAGATATCATCACATCACTGGATTAACTAGAGACTCTAAACAGGCTTGGATTACAGAGATGGCTGCATTTGTGAAGAGTTTGGACGGAAAACATCTTGTGACAGTTGGACTTGAAGGGTTTTACAGTCTAAATTCAACAGGGAATTACGGAGCAAATCCAGGGGAATGGGCGGCATCACTTGGATCAGATTTTATAAAGAACTCAGCAATTGAAAACCTAGACTTCGCTTCAGTTCATGCTTACCCACACAGCTGGTTAGTGATACTCTCTGCTCATTATGATTTTGCACCAACGAGAAATTTGGTTACACTTGTGCTTGGAGCTAAATTTAAAACTCTCCATTTGTTGATTTGAACCCCGAAATTGACTAATTAGAAGATCTTTATGATATCTTATGAGCTTGCCTGGCTTTAAAAAATTAGTAATAGAACTTTTTTATTGTGAAACATATTTCAATAACTTATTTTTCGCACTTTTGACTAAAAGCAGTTAGTTATTGTGATAGTATCTCTTAACTTACTGTCAAAATAAGTAACCTAAACTTTCATTAATAAAAAAATTACTTAGTTTGAATCTTAATTATTTGCTTATAAGTAAACTTTCTAATCTTAGCCAAACATGGTCATATCACCACTTCCTGGTTTTTTGGGCTTTTAGTGAGGTATTATGACCTTTGTGCCCCATGAGTTGTACGATGAAATTCTAGTTTCCTTTTGGGATTTGACTACCATGCTATTTTCTGTGTAATTGTATGCTTTAGGATCCCAGATGCAGATTTAGAAGCAAAAGTAAAATACCTATCCAACTGGGTAGATGCTCATGTTAACGATGGTGAGAATGTGCTGAAGAAGCCCGTTCTTTTTACTGAAGTTGGCGCCCTTTTAGTTACAAAGACAGGAGGATTATATGATAGAGATATTTTGTTGAGAATGGTTTATGACCAAATTTACGAATCTGCAAAGAGAAGGGAAGCTGGTGCTGGAGTTCTAATTTGGCAGTTATTGGTCGAAGGAGTGGAGGAATATAGTGACAAGTATTCCTTTGTAGCTTGGAAGTGTCCTTCGACTTATAAATTGATCTTAGAACAATCATGCAGGCTAAGAAATACTTCTCGAAGCCTAAAAAACCGGAAAGATCAACATAAGGATCCTTGTTTCAGTCAGAAAAGAGGTTGAGAAAGGAATAGGGTATGGGAAAATTAGTAATAAGCAAACTCTGAAGATTGTGTTGGGAGTTTGAACTTGTACATACAATCAACCAGACTTGTTCTATGGTGTATAATATTCGTATCATGTGTATGTTTTAATATTATTTGATTTTGATGCTTGTATAGAATTCGTTAAGCATTAGCCAGTACTAGTTGTTTTGTACTCAATTGTTGTACTTGTGCAATCCAACGTTTTTCGGATAAGAAATTTCTTCGTTGTACTTGATATAAGTTTTTGATTAAATCACGCCTTTTTGCATTAGTGTTGTGATGCACGTCTATTTGGCAGGACTTTTGAAAAATCAAAAGTTGCTTTGAAAACTAAGAGACTATTTTTAGACCTGTTTGGATAAAATTTTGTAAGTCTTTTGGAGGGTTAAGTTCACCAATGGTTATCCAATTTTATACTTAGTGTCACCATAGGCAACTAATTTAATTTTGTTTCATCATGACTACCCAACTTTATACTTATATCACCATGGTTATTGAATTTGATTTTATTTCAACGTAGTCATCCAATTTTATATAACGTTTCACGATAGCTATTTAACTTCTTTTCATTCTTTTCACTAATTTTAAAAATGGTAAAACGGTAACTTTACATTATATATGTAAAAATAAATTATAAAAACGAACACAAAATAAAATTTTATTTAAAAATAAAATAAAACAAAATCTTATTTTAATACTTAAAATAAAATAAAATAAAATAGAAACTTATTTTAAAAAATTTTATAAAAAAATTATTTTTATTGTTTAATTTTTTATATATAATATAAAATTACCATTTTACCCTTTTAAAAATTAGTAAAAATTGTGAAAAGAAATTTGGTGACGGTGGTGAAATATTACATGAAATTGGATGATCATGGTGATGCTAAATATAAATTTGGGTGGTCATTGTAAAACAAAATGAAATTGAGTAACCATAGTGATACTAAATATAAAATTGAATGACCATAGATGGATTTAACCATCTTTTGGAAGAACTCTGCCTAGCGTAGCTTTCTCAAACAACTTTTCTACAAAAAAAACTAAAAGCAGAAGCAGGGCTTATGGGCCTAAATGTGCGCGCGCGCACATTCGTAAACAATTATTAAAAGAAATCTTCAATCCTTCCAACACACGAGACTTGTACAGGAGTACTCTTTAAAGGCAAACCAGCCTACGAAACTCTCTCTCATCTAACTCGAACAGCTGCATTTGCACCGCGACAAGCATTTCTTGCAATCGGCTAGTCTTGGATAGCCACCATTGCAGTCACATTTCTTGATACACTTGGAACGACACGTTCCACTCCACAAACATCGAGCCATGCATTGCATTATAGGAACACATCTCGGGCAACTGGATTTCATTTGATTTGTGATACAGTTACTGCACTCAGTTCCATCCCCAGGACAGGCCACAGAAAGCAAAGCCATCTCCCACAGTATCAGCAATAATATGCATACCGTAGACATTTTTGACAGCCAAATTTTCTTTCCCATTTCTTCACACTGAAGCTATAACTTAGTTTATAGAGTCTGTGGTTATATTTATATCCTTCATACCTCCTCTTGTTATTAAGTCATAGCAGATGGAGGCAGGTCTTTAAGAGATCATTTACTGTTCTTTTGGCTCTTCATAATTAATGCCTATTTCAGTATTGAAAATGGGATTTTCTTGGAATGCTCAATGTCACTGAAATCAGGTCACAAGACTTTATTTTGTTCTATATTAGTCACTGCACGTGAAATTTTATTTCAACTTGGTCATTGAACATAAATGTTTGTGTTCGTTCCATTCATATCTGTTAGGCCCCGTTTGGGAGTGATTATGAGAATTAATTTTGTGACCGTTAGGATAAAAGTGGGGACCACCTGTGAAAGAAGAAGTCAAACTTTATGGTTGGAATAATGAAATAACGGTCAAAAAATCAATTTTTTTGGACGAAAAATCACTCCCAAACAAGCTCTAAGAGGTCAATTTGACTAACTGAAAAGTTGATGCATGGTAGTTCAATTGGCAAATAACTAATTTGTTCATCACATATTTTTCTGTTCAAACTTGACCATAAAGATGGGCCGGCCGTCTTACATTTGATACTTATAGTTCAACATTGCAGAGTAGACATAGATTGACAGAGTTCAAGTTCATAGGAGGAACCCAAAAAAAAAAAAAAAAAAAAAATAAAATTACGGGCATGAACATGCATAATCTGGTTGTACCTTTAGCTGTTATGTTAGCTATGGCATAACAATAACATACTAATATGAATACTGAAGACCATACCATAATGAAATTTTGTGATCTCTCCCTCCATAATCTGTTTGATTTTATCATGATAGAGCAATGGATCTGTTATATAGTGCGTATAATCATTGAATTTTTAGCAAAATTTGACGTTACTGTTACTATATTTCATTTTGTTTCAAATTCATCTAACTTAAATATTTCTTTCAAGTTGATTGCTTTGTCGTTGTGAAAAAACTAGCGTGACAACCTACTTGACAAGTAAACTATATTGCCATTGAGATAGATAAGCGACTAACTAGTAGTAAAGTTTCACTTTAGTACTCAACTTGGAGGAGGGGGGGGGAGGGGGTGAAGTTTAGTGACTAAGATGAAAATTCGCCAAAAAATTTGGTGACCATCCGTGAATTTCACATGTTTGCATATTAAGCAAGTCATACAATTTGAAAATTGCTCTACAAGGTCATGTTGACATAATAGTCGATTAACAATTAGCATTTTGACGATTTCATATGATGAATTATACCGAACCTAACGAGATTATAAAAGAAAATATATATTTATAGTAAATCTAACCGAACAAATAGGCCTCGATAAATAGATACATCCATAAGATAGATTGGAGTAAATCCGACAAGTTTAAAAAAGAAAGCATATAAAATGCTTATTGATATTATTTATAATTTTGTCCAATTTTTTTTCTAATTGAACATAGCAAAGGTGCCTCCATGACTCATGTCCAAAAACTGTATGAGAACAGTGCAAGTGCTGCAATGTAGACAAGAGCAAATAAAATATTATAAGCTCCTTTTGCTTTGCCTTTCAACAGAGCCTGAAAATTCAGCTTTTCAATTGCATTCATCAACAAAGCTATGGTTTTCTGTCCACAAAAATAAATTCAAAATTTCTCAATTAAGACAAAAAATTACACGATTTGAAAGTTTGGTGACCGAAACCTAAACTTCTTGTATAAATTCTCACCAGTCTTAGGGGTTCAAAATGAAGGACTGGCTCCATGAACATGTCCATATTCCTGCAGGATCAAAAAACCCATATATATTGCTAAATACTCCAAAAAATTCAAATGAAATTCAATTATAATCAACTTATTTCGTTTTCTCCTTACTTTATCATCACCTTTCCCTGGTAAACATGGCACATGTAGATGCTGTAACCCTTTCCCAAAGGAATTAGGGGAACCTTATCCCATGCTGCAGGAGAAAAAATGATCAATGTGGAAGGGGTGGGTAGGGTGGTGGGGTGGGTGGAATTGAGGAGGGGAAAATAACCTAGTCTCCAGGATACTCCAACAACCATTCCATCATCCAATGTGGGTTGTACTGTAAATACAATGTTTTTTCCTATTTTATTCATGAAATAAGAGAAGAATGCCAGTATTTGCTGCAAAGGAAATCCAATTCAGGTTAATTGGATTACACAAAATAAGCCAATTTACATTGAATTTGACTGGCATGTAGCAAAACAAGGGGCGACCCACATGGGGTCAAATGACCTCATAGTTTTTTGGAATTATTATTATTTTTTTTTTTTGGCTGAAAACTTTATTTTTTGCCCCCAAAAAGTCCAAATCCTAAATCTATATCCATATCCATATCCATTATTTAGTCCATAAATATATCATATAATCCACTGATTTCTTCCCAAAGTGCAAACACTGAACATGAACAGCAAACAACCGATTTTTCCTTTTTATTCATGATACGTTGTTCGAAAAAAAAAAGAATTTTTTGACCCCACAATTCGAACTGTCTGGGTTCACCCCTGAGCAAAACCACACAATTTATAAACAAAAAAATATTTAAAGAATGGAGCTCAATTTCTAGTAGTTTGCTTTATAGTGGAATGGTGAACCAGAACCACCTCGACTGAAAATTAAAGTCATTGGACGAGATGGTTGAAAATGGTGTCTGAGCATGCAAAATTACTTACGTACCTCCTTACCATGCAAGGGTTGAAAAGCAGAAATAAAGTTGGAAATGAAGAGGCATTCTTCAGCAATCATATCAGACATTTCGTTAAGATTTCTATTCTTAATTGCTTCGAAAAGCTTCAGCACTGTCTCCATAGCTCTCTGATCGTCGGCCGGAGGCGGAGGTGGAGGCCCCGACTCCTTGGTATCGCATGCGACTCTCTTCAGGCCAGTTCTTGTGCAGGTATTACCTTTAAAACAACTTCTGTAAGAATGGATCACATGAGAAATCTGTGCTGTTCGAGGTATATTTTTAAGGTTAAATTCCATGTCTAGGCATGGATTATACACAGGTTGTCTTGATCTAGATATTAACGGTGAGGAATTTGTGAGCATTTTACAGAATGCCATGGTAGAAGTTATAGAGATCGAGCCCATTTGATATCTGGATGATTTGAAAATTAATTTCAGAATTTAATAGAGCTGGAAGAGAGAAGGGTTTTGGGTGCATTGAAATTAAGGAATAAAGGAACACAATCTCTAATCACAAGCTTAGAATCTTGCTGTTGGAAATTTTGGAGGGATAGAGAAGAAACAAAACGAGTTACACAAAAATTGCAAAAAGAAGATCAATAAATTAGGAAATTGTCAAGAACAACTTCAAAGGCTCGAACGCGGGCTCGCTGTCCTCAAATGTTATTTGCCCCATCTCCGATGTTTTGTGAGATGTTTAAAGACATTCCAACAAATGATTTGAAGGATTATAACAAGTCTTGTAAATAATTTCACCAAAGTACAAAGTAAAATTCTTCAAAATTTGAAGAACACTAAGAGAAATGAAAATGAATGTAAATAGGGATTTGATTTATGTTGAGGAATGAGGAACGAATTTCAAGTGCTTTCAATGTATCTTTGCCTTGAACATGGCTCCTCTATATATAGGCATCGACCATATATGTTGACCTCCGAAAATGGTCAACAAGTGTCATTAGAAGATAGTGTACGCGTAGACGTATCCTTTGTTATATATTTATAGTATAAATATAAAATGTAAAAGAAAT